GCATAGGTGGCCAACAAATTGGCTGCTGCTGCTGCTGGGTTGGCACTGGCAGCTGCTGCAGCCAAAGCCCCTGTTGCTGCTGCTTGACTGAGGCCTAAACCTAATGTGTTGAGATTATATCCGTAGCTGGCTAATGTATTAAGTGCAGAGGTGATGGCCACCAGGTCGTTGCCTGTGAAGCCAGATAAAACTGCTGGAAAGGCTGCCACGCCGGCAAGGTTAGCATGTCCTAATAGCCCTGCGGCAGCGGCAGCGGTTGGTAACACTTCAGCAGTGTTTGCATAAGGAGATCCGGTTGGATTGGAATTTGCCACTGGACCTGTAACATTGGCATAACTGATATTGAGACAGCTGCCACTCTGTGGATCCTCTTGTATCTTCTGGATGATAAGTTCGACAGCTTTTCGGTTTTGTTCAGGTTCTCCACTCACAGTGACAACCCTCTCTTGCAAGTTGATCCCATCGGGTTTCTGGGAAAGCTGCACCCAAGCCCCTGACTGCTCCATTATAGCCTTCACAGTAGCACCTCCCTTCCCTATTATCAGACCTGCTGTGCTGTTGGGAACTATAATCTTTACCTGTAATTAAAAAAAATACGTATAAATAATACTTCTGTTTTGCGCACATACATTATATTACTTTGCTATCCTAGAAAAAGTAAGATAATAAATCGAAAATTAGTTGAAATATAATTTACAAAAGATGGAAATATCACAACTTCTAACGTGACTTTCATCATATTTTAATACAATATATAGTAAAATTAGGATTTTCAAATGAAAAAAGCAATTTCCAGTTTTAAATTATTTTTAAAAAGTTGTCCTTAGTCTTGGTGCATTTTGCAGTACAAGTTCTAAGAAATCAGTATGTTTTTTAAAAGGGAATAATAACTACACATCAATGGTAACATTTTTATATAGCTCCAAAATCAAAATGCTATTGATGAATCTTCGCCTACTGTACTTTAAGAATATCTTTGCTCTAGCATATGAAAATAGAGTGCAGGATTATAAAACAAAGTTAGTAAAAAAAAAAAGAAAAAGCAGGCAAGGTCTCCCTTGAGCCCCTTCAAAACATTAATTTCATGTTCCTTATTACCTAGCAATTTTTGTGTTGATACCTTACGTGTTCCACAACTAAATTTTCAGAAATGGAGATCAATAAAATAATTAGTAATATTTTACTTTTTCAACTAAACTGATACACAATATATAACCTTATAAAATAATAAGTATTTATAAGTAATTAAACATTTCAATCATTTTAAGTAGGTTAAGGCTATTTGAGACTGATATTACCTACATATTCTATCTACATTTGTAAAAATGACTATTTGATTAGCTAGATAATTTTTTTGGAAGACATAGCTACATTTTTAAAATAGGGTGTAATACCATATTACTCATGGATATTGAAGGATTACTCCAGTCATATGTATACTAACAACAATCCAATGTAACCATATAAAGTATAATCATTTTAGCCAATTTGTATTGAAATATCCAACCACAAAAATCAATATATTTTGATTTATTTAATCACAATAAAATATAAAGTATAGAATGAGTATGGCATCCTCCATAACCCCTGAAATTAATATATAGATATTTACATTTAAAGTTGTATTTTGGCAGCACAAAAATACATATGGCAGTGTTTTATGACTCATTGGGTAGATGAAAAACTGAGAGTGTTGTGTCACTGAGTAAGCACTGAAGGATTGCTTTCCTTGTCGCAGACATTAACATGGGCAGGCTGAATAATATGCTAAAATTTGAGAAAGAATTTAGTTTGGATATTTTAATCAGATATTTAGTTAGCTCATTTTTAGCAAGTAATACCATGCTATCTTTAAAACAAATTTGGGTGAGAATATTTTAAAGGAACAGAGCTACACATTTTTGGCATTTTGCTCTTGAGGATAGCAAAGGGTGGAAGTATAAATTCAAATTCTAGACAGGGTCACCTCATAAATATATGTACATAAATTATGCACATAAACACACACATACACACACTTTTCTTTCCACACATATAGTTTATAATCACAGTAGAATTTTGTGTCATTCAGAGTTGTTTATATAATCATTTCATTTAATTAAAGGAAATCTAAGTTTTCTAGAAACATTTCTTCGGAATGTCAAATACATCCCTCATATTCCATGTGATTAAATGCATTGAGTTGTAAGAAGTAGACTGAGAAATAGATTTTTAACATGTTAATTTTGTTCACAGACTTTTTTTAAATAGGAAATTATTTATCTGAAATGCTGAATTAACGTATGTTAAATGTTATAATTAGAAAGTTAAGCCATGATTATATTTTAAAACAATTATAAATATGAATTAGAATCATCCTTATATTTTCACACAAAATATTGAGAAAATTTACTTTTAAGGATTTAAATCCTGAATGCTAAATGTTATTATTCTTTATAAATATTACTTTTTAAAATCAGAAATATTTTTCGATAAAATATTGTTGTAAACATACTGCACACCAGTCTCATACTATATCTAATGCATCCACAGCTTTTTTACTTTCTAAACTCTCATACTAATTCTATCCTTCCCGAAAGAACTCGCAAATGTGTGCCTAGTACTTACATAATTGCACGTTACCTTCCTTTCTTTTATTTATCTCTTTAATAATTTTTCTTTCTTTTCAATACTAAAAAATTCTGAAATAATGTATAGTTTAGAAGCAGTGGGTGGACTCTTCATGGAACTAAAAATCTGTATCTTTAGAAGTTCAAGAATTACACCATATCATTTATCCTTATACTAAGGATGTCTTTATGTAATAAGTACTATTACCTGGAATTTATAACTATTTGAAATAACTTATATATAAAATATTGTCAGCTATAATTCAAACTAAAGTGACACCCAAATTTTGTAGGTATAGCTGGCATTTGTCCACATATAACTAAAGGTGTGTTATAATTTAAAAGAAGGCATTAATAATTGCATATTAATATTTATAATATGTAGCACTTGTTAACTTTTAGATAGTAATAATTCTGCATAAGATTACTTATCTTAGAAATTAAATTAGGAAATAAAAGTTATTAAATATAAATATTTAATAGCCTAGCCAACGAATATGTCACCAAACTTTTATTTTTGACACAAAGACATTAAAAGCCTCTTAGATTTACACTATCTTTTTTCTTAAATGATTAAAAATATACCTATATCTATTTGCACATTTCATATTAATCTAATATGGACACAGATAGAAAACAGACCCTCTAATAAGAAGTTGAGACTAAAAATAGTAATTCATTTGTATAATATCTCGGAGACAGCAGTGCTCCATTTCCATTTTATGTGTTAAGTCAGAGCCAAGAAGAAGTGAAACACGAGTGGAAGCCTGCAGATGGTGGGCAACTGAATACTGGTTGGGGTTGGTGTTGGGGGAGAGAGAGGAGCATGAAGAATAAGACAGCCTATTTGCTTACTTCTCAGATACAGGAATACAGCATTTACTAAAGGAAAAGTCTGTGCACAGACAGTGTTTGCATCCCCACTGAAATGATAAATATCAGATTTTAATCATATGCACAGCTTCATTTTCTGTGGTGAAGTTTGTTAACAAACTGACACAAATATATGTATTCTTATTTCTAAAGAACTGAGAGAATGAACTGGATCTTAAATAGCATACAAATTATTTGATGTAATATGTACCGAGTAAATCAGGCATGTTCTTGACAGTTACAGATCCGTTTCCCCTTCAGAACAAATATCGATAATGTTATCATCTATCTAGTCTTTTAGGGAAAACTCACCAAGTGGCCCAGGCCCTGTGTTGGGAGCAAGAGATAACAGATATATGAGACACTGTTCCTGTCTTTGAGGAACTTCTAGATTAGTTGTAGGAAACAGATGTGTAAATGTGTCAGTGCAGAAAAGTCTTAAAAGTACTGATACAAGAGACACAAACACCAATTTGAAGGAGAAGGGGTAAGAAATTCTTTGGGGGATGATTATATATATACTATAAATGTCTATTTCATATTTTTGTACTGACCATCCCATTCTTTACTATCAGATATTCCCATAAAATTGCTGTTATTTCTGTGTTATAAAGTTCCTGTACAAACCTAAACCCATTTTAGTATTGATAACCTGCAACCACAAAAGAGCCTCTATGGGAATCCTATGAAAAGTATTTGAAATAATAAATCAGTAGGTTTTAATATTGATATGTTTCTGATTGAAAATGAACATTAAGACAAACAAATTTATTCCTCTGCCATATAAGAACTCCTACACGTTATGGTCTTAAAAAGGTCTGAGAGTGTCTGTAAGGCATCATGTCTTCTTCATCATGGCAGAAAAATTATTGAACTATTTCATTAAACCATACTTTAAAATAAATGCAAAACTCATTCCACTATAATTTAAAATATCCTAATTATAACAGTAGGGACTATATTTATTTAGGGTTGCTACTTATGTATGGCCTTATATTTATAAAGCAATTCAATAGTAGATACCTGTTATTTCATTCATTCATTCATTCAGCTACTTACTGATTTGGGCTTGAGCACATGACACATGATGGTCCAATAAGAATTAGCGTGAGAGTATGGTGAAACTGTTGGGATAGAGATACCTGTTTCTAATCTAGTAAAACAGAGCTTGACATTACTAGTGACTGTCTTCTCATCACATGGAGAGAGGAAGGACCAGGCTAAAAATAGTTAACCTATATAAAGGGAAACTCTACAAGTGGACAGAGAGAAATCTCTGACAGCATTTTGGCATCTGAATCTAATCTAAAGCCAGCACAGAATCAATAATTCCCCTTCTTTAAGCCATTTTGAGTTGGATTTCTGTAATTTGCAACAAACCAAATAGTATATTTGAAAATATTATGTTCTTGTTATATCATGTATTATTTGCCTATTCAAAAGAAATATTGACATTTTATTGTGGCTCTGATGCTCCAAAAGTCAAGATGTCATAGCTCTGGTAAAGAGATGGAATTAGATTACTTAAATTACCTTTAATAAAGATATGCCCTAGTGATCTAATAGGAGCGGTCTCTTTCATTTCCATAGTGGTTTATACCTTAGGCTACTGAGACACCCTATGGTAGTGTCCAATGCAGATGCCTCTGTCATTTTGAGGTATGTATATTGAACTAAAATAAATATAAAAAATTATTATCTTTTCATTTTATATAATTTTTTAAAATATATTTTATTGATTTTTTACAGAGAGGAAGGGAGAGGGATA